ATGGGGGGTTGTACGTCCGAGAGTTAAGAATCCCAAGTCTCCTAACGGGACGGAGACGAAACACTTAACTATATACAAGCGTGGCCTTGGTTTCAGTAATGTGATTCAGATTTTAATCAGATAATTTTTAAAATTTTGAGTATGCACTGTAAGTATTCTGAACCTTGATTCTGAACCGCGGGTCACATTTCAGTGGTTTAAGGTCTGAGTTAAAAGGGTGTATTACGTTTTATATGACTGATCCCCGGTTTCCCAGAACTTGTATTATTTTTTTTGAAAAAAATGAATATGTCCATGTCTTGTTGATCCTTAATGTATAAATTGGTGGACAGTACAAAATGCAGACTGCAGACTGACTGCAGACCATTGTTTTCAGGGTTAGAAAACAATGGGACTATCAGTGGCTTCATAGCTTAGTTGGTTAGAGCGTCGCACCGGTATCGCGAAGTCACGGGTTCAAATCCCGTTGAAGTCCTGATTTTTTGGTTTAATTCAGGCTTCTTACGCAATTGCATAAACTGCGTCCACAACTGCGAGGATCATTCTTCATTTGATTTCATTTCCACAGTTCTCATATATGATTTATTTCAAATGCATTTGTCAATGGGACTATTGTTGTCACGTTCCATTTGCATGGTGAAAACAATGTTTTGCACTGAGAGCAGTCTGCAGTCTTCATTTTGTACTTATGTTATATATTGGGACACACATTGTGCCACTTAATTAAAACTGCTTTTAAATTCAAGTAAAATGGGATTTCAGGCACGGGTTTAACTTATATGGATAAATTATTAGCGTTTCATACTAAGAGTAAACATTTTGCCTTCCACGTTTGGGAATGTATATGCTCGTAGTTTTAAGTACGTTTTGGACGATACACTGAATAGCCTGCGCAGAGACAGGAGCGAGTGACCGCTGCCGAATTGGACCTTCTGAGAATCATGAGAGTGACTTTTGCTTTTTTTTAGGAAAAGCGTTGCCAGATAGTCCTTCCATGCCTGCAAACGAAGGAAAAGGGGCCCGAAATCAAATTTTCATCCGAAAACAAGATTTATTTTCCTTCTGTATTTTCTCACCACCACTTCCTTGTAGAGCTGAGTCCGCCTCTGTCTCTGCACTCGTAGACTATGTGTTCTGCCATTAAACTAGTTTTAACTCTTAATCTTGTTTCTTAATTACTGGGAGTCATTTCAATCATAAAAAACGTTTTCGTGGACTATTGCGTTAGTGGTCCAACAGCTTTAATTGATGTCGACTTTAAAGTATCCAAACAGTGGAAGAGATTAGATAAAGATTTTGGACGCTCCAATAACTTAATGATGTTTTGTTGTAATTGTGCTAGGTTGTAAAAGTTGGGCTTTTAATCAAGTAGATCAGTTCCAGAACACATATACAGAAACTTTCTGAGGTTTGGCGTTAGGAAATTACATCAATCGTTCAAGCTATTATCATTCTATCCAGAATCTGACCTATTTTTACTGCTTCTAGACTGCTTTTCTCTAGGCCATTGACTTTTAGCCATCCCTCAGTTATTTAAAGAAGCTGCTTTAATTTAGGGATGTCACCATTAGAAAAAAAGGATAGGAGGTTGGGGGAAGGCAAACGCATTAGTAAGAAAAAAAATCTCCACACACACCATGATCAAAAAAGCTGTTCGAGGAGGACATAGACCTCCCGAAAATCCCACCCAGCCCCTTTACTTTCCTAATGGTTCATCCCTTATACCGCCCCATGGATCGGAATCCGGAATCTGGGAAAAATTTGCATGTGGAATCCGGAATCCTGGGCTTTGGAGTCCGGAGTACAGCTAAAAGAATCCGGAGTGCCACTAGTTGTTGAAAGTGAGAATCCAAGTTCAAAGACTGGAATCGAGTACCTGGAATCGAGTACCTGGAATCGAGTACCTGGAATCCGGAATCCGTGACGTGGAATCCAGAATCCCAGGCTATCTTGGATTGCCTTACATGGGGCGACTTATAGGTCGGCTTGTTGAACTACTTCTACTTGATTCCAACACGTTACACGATACAATGTTTAGTTTCTGATGTTACCTTCAGATAAGTAATGTTGTATTAAACCTTAAGAAAACGAGATGTTTACTGTGATTGCTGATCTCTTCGACGCCTTAAACCATTTTAAAACTACTTCTCCTTGAACTGAAATAGTCAGTCTTTGATTAACAAACCACAACTCCCTCAGAGGCACTAAACATTTTTCGATTCTAGGACGTTTTTCACATATTTTAAGGCAAGTTTCTGATTCTGTCATCAAATTATCCCGCTCGGTAAATCGTTTTTGAAGCAAGAAAAGCCAACTTTCGAGCAGAAGTTTGATGAAAACCATTTGACCTTGTTTCGCCATACAACGTCATAAGAAGCGTAAAGGCACCAAAAACTCATTCCATTATATTTTCAAAGAGTACCATGGTAGTGACCCACAACCGAGTCACGGGTCTCTTAGCAGCCAAATGACTCAGTAAAACAAAAACGTGTTCAAACTAATTTTCGACACCCAGAGATGTACCTTTAACACAGCAAACGAAACTTTTGTCCACATTTATCAAAACTAGAATTTCATCGTTAATCCAAGCAATCTTGCCACTTTCAATTGAAGCAGCACCGATCTAGAAAGTGGATCGTATCATATCGGATTGGTTTCTGTGCAACTCTTCGTCGCAGTGTGAACGGGTAACGGGTATTCGAACCGTGGCGTTAATAAAAGAGTAGGAGGGAGGAGTGAACAACCGAGCCGCACTATCTTAGCAACCAAAAAAACCCCTCAGTATCTAGCTGAGATAGCTGAGTAAAAGTCAGCTATCTCAGCTGGATACCCGGTAGCTTGAAACATTCCCTATCCCATTAATCTCTGATCATATTTCGCATCTAATATGATAGAGGCGTCAATTTTCACGCAATCATGTCATCATCCTAGGGCGAGAAATATAATTAATTAAAAGCGCGGTATAGATGGTTTTCACAGTGACGTCATCTAATTGTAAAGTCAAAATAGCGAGGTTTTACGAATTCTTATTTACACTAGGTTGAAGATAAACAAAAAGTAAATCTTTGTACAAGTTTCCATTCCCGTAGCATGTTTCATTTCGAAAATACAGCAATTTGAACTTCCGAATTTTAACAGTGCGTGACATCAAAATAGGAATGCTGTCTCGTTGAAAAAAGAGCCTCTCCTCTTGATTTTCAGCAGTATAACGATTTTAAGTATGAGAAGACATGTTTATACGTACGTACGGCTAGTTCTTGAGTGAAAAGAAAGAGCTTTTAAAGAAAAAGTAAACTCCAGATGTTTTTGTTGATTTCCGGCGGCCATATTGGTGGACCAAAGCGGTCCACCAATATGGCGTCTCCATAAAAAGCTCTACAAAGTTGCGTGAAACGTTTCGGCAAATAACTCACAAACTGTGGGCCACAAAGACCCGAGATTTGGACAAATTGTTTATATATTAGTCTTTTATAACATTTCATCTTCTTGGCTTCCTCCACAGGATGGTTTCCAATTTATTTTTTCGTTGCGTGACAGTGAAAACGATCTATCTAACAAACGGCTTTAGCTTCGGAAAAACAATTCAGTGCCGTCTAAAAAGAAACGTATTAAAGTCTACGGTCGACCTCGTTGCAAATGGAAACAAATAAACCCTTGGAGACAACCTTCGCCCTATGGAGGGGCTTATTTACGGGATTTTACGGTAGCCCCTTAACTCGAAACCAGATTATGCAGAGATAACCTCTTCCCCTTTTAACGTCTGCCACGCAAGCTAGACGAAATCCCATGGTGATGCCGTTCAAATATATGATATCTCTTTGGCGGAACGTTTGCCTGAATGTTCATCTCTTAGGAAGAAGAGCGAATTGATGGTTAATTAATTATTTTTTCTTTAGCTACTATTAGGATGAAAATAAACGTTAACATGTTGTACCCCAGGGGTATTTGCCTTTTTCCTCTCCTTTCCCCCATCCCCTCCTTTCACAAAGCTAGCCTATTCTTGAGCCTATTCACAGGCTCTTTATTTAAAATCGCAAGCACACGGCAGTGTGTGTGTGTGTGTGGGTGTGTGTGTGTGTGTGGGGGGGGGGGGGGGGGGGGGGGGGGGGATTGGGGGAAGAAGAGGAGAGGTTCCTCGTTCTGCTTGCTTCGCTCGTCGATTTTTTGTCCCTCTTCCCTACCAAACAACCTGGTCCCAGGCTAGCACAAAACGCGAACGCCCAGCGATTAGTCTGGATTGCACATAAAAACTGACCGATGCTATACATAATTCTTTGACTACTCTAGATTATAGTGCAACCACAACAGCACTGTTGGGGGTAGTCTGGGGCGTGCACTCTGTGATCCAGGCCGTAAACCCAAAAACGAGTGTTTTTCTCTTTCCACTCATACTTCACTTCAGATACTGGCACAGCTCGTAACGTGTGACGCTAAAATAAATAAACAAATAAATTTCATTTTCATTAATCCATACAGGTATAGGCTCACACTATGACAATGTCTCACTTGGTGCCCGAGTACCAGTGCCTGGGTAACGGCACAGAATGGTTTTCTGTTCACTCCCTGGGTACCACGCCCTGTCACGCGCCATTTTGAAAAGTGAGAGTAGTAGGAAGTTATTTGTAATAAGGAAAGCAGTGGATTGCCTTTGAACAGAACTAACAGTTTTCCCTTCCCCAAGTAAGGGTGACAGCGAAATAACAGTTCGACTGTATAATCTAAAAAGACATTCACCAGTTTAGAAACGAGGAGTAAACTAGGCGGAGTTAATTTTCGCGAAAACCCTAAGGATCGTTTCCGGGAACGCGCCGTCAGCCAATGGTCAATTTTTCCTCTGTCCCCAGTAACCGTCCCAGATGGGAGCGTTGCGTGACGAGACAAAAGTACTGCCGTCTCAAAAATCTTTGAGAAAATTAACACGGCTCAGCTTTCTTCTCATTTCTAAAGTGGCGACCTTTATTTACCTGACAGTTTTCTTACCTGCATAAGGATTCGTTTAGTAGGCCAGTTACGGGAATGAGCATCAACGAGGGCCTGGGAACCACGATTAACAGCCGGGTCATGGAACATTGTGATTGGATAAACCTAGAAAGGAAAAAAATATGACGTTGGGAAGCAGAATGAAATTGAAATGATCAGTCATTGATACAAAATTTTTGAGCGACATAATTTTTTTTCCTGCCATCCTTTCGAGGGTACCTATAGATGGCAAAGCATGGATAGCCCATCACTGACTAAACGAGAAGAAGGTTATATCATCACACTTCATAATCAGTGAAGAAGTTGTAATTTTGACAAGCTCAGTAAAGAAGAAAGCAGTCTTTCTTACAGAGTGGCTGTAAAATGCTAGGGATGGGAGGGAGGGAGGGATAAAGATAGAGTAGAAAACTGGACCATTATTTTTGGAATTCTATTTA